GATGGACATGGCAGAACCAGCTCAGGTGGACAATTCGTCCAGGTCCAGCCGGGGGTTTTTACTCGTTCCTTTGGTGACAACAGTCACGTGCGAGAAAAATCAGACCCTTTTTGGGGAAAAAAATGCTTTTTTAGGGGTACAAAAACCTTGCCTAGCGCTGTGCCCCGGCACTGGGCAAGACGCGGCCCCCCCGGTAAAATCCACCTTTGCTGCCTCCCACCCAGGTGGGCACAGGGAGGTCGATGGTTTCATTTTGGCGTTTTTTATTCCTTCTACTTGGAGGTTTTCATTTCAGATCCGTAAATTTTAATCTTTTCCTGGGAGATCTTCGTTTTTCTTCCCCAATACGGCACGCTCTCCTTGGTTCCTTGGACTGGGCTTGAGCATCTTTGCTTCTTCATCCCAAAATCTCTGGTTTTTTGATGTTTGGGGGTTTTTATTTGATTTTTTAAAATTCTTTTTCCTGTGGAAGGGTGAGGTTGTGGCTCCGGTCCCAGATCCTGAAGATCTCTTGCTTTTGCTCCAGGAGGCTGTGACCTTCGAGGAGGTGGCCGCGTATTTCACTGAGGAGCAATGGGTCCTGCTCGACGTGACGCAGAGGGGACTCTACGTTGACGTCATGATGGAGAACTATGAGACCGTGACGTCACTGGGTAAGGAGCCCCCTCCCCTCCCCTCCAGTGCTGGAGCCAAGAGCTCCTCAAGTTTTGGCTCATTACGGCCTCGATGTTACAGACGCTCTTAAATTTTCAGATGGTTTTCGCTCCGCGGCACTCAGGAACAAGACAGATCATCAAGAAAAAAAACCTTTTTTTTTTTTTAATCCTTTTTCCTTGTAATTTTCCAGCGGATGGAAATCTCCGTCTTCCCCACAGGGATCTTTTCCCGTTTTTCCTGGACTTGCTCCATCCCACCCAATTGGTTTTGGGCCAACCTTTGATGTTTGCTTCTCTGTGGGGCTTGGGGGGAGGACACGCATCCCCCCGCAGGTATCTGGCTGACCGTACCACCATCCTTCCCACCCCACGTCCCTCAGGAAATTCAATTTTCTTTAATTTCTTTAATTTCTTCACAAATACTCTCAATATTCTCAGATCCCTTGTGCCGTTATCTCCTGATTTCACCCTCTGGAACAGCTTTTCCCCCGGCCAAGCTGGATTTGCTCACCCAGATGCGAGAGCGAGGAGAGCGCTGGGGCTCGGATTTTCAAGAAACGGAGAAAAAAGAACGCGGAGGTGAGGGCGCAGTGCCTGCGCTCACGACCTATCCTACCAAACCCACGCCAGGATTTTAGCCGAAACCATGCTGGATCCTTCTAGCAGATACAGCTCCGCCAATCCTGCCTGGAAATCAGAATAAATTTCCTCTCTGTTGATTTTTTTTTTTTTTTTTTTAATTTTTTTGCAGAACAACGGGAGCAGAGCTGCTGCACCCCCAGCCAATTTCCTTGCCTGTTTAATTACATTTTTCTCCCCCTTTTCCCCTTAATGTCATTTATGCCTGGCCTGAGAAATAAACCCGTCTGGCTTTTCTCTCTGTCGCAACAGGGCTACGATGGAAAATAGACAATGGCGTGGTTGATGCCAACTTTGGAGAAAACCCAACCCAAGAAGACGCTGCGGAAAGACGGCGTTCCCGTACCGAGGTTGACGGAGAGGACAACCAGAGCAAGGACTTAATTATATCCCCGAGAAATGAGACGGGAGAAAAACCTTTCAAGTGCCTCGAATGCGGGAGAAGCTTCACGCGAAGCTCGGATCTCATCGTCCACCAACGAACCCACACTGGCGAAAAACCCTACCGGTGCCCGGAGTGCGGGAGATGCTTTAACAGGAGCTCCAGCCTCGTCACGCACTGGAGGACGCACACGGGTGAAAAAATATACGTCTGTTCCGAATGCGGGAAAAGTTTCACGCGAAGCTCGACGTTAACGGCTCACCGACGAACGCACACGGGGGAAAAACCCCACGAGTGCCGCGAGTGCGGGAAACGCTTTGGAAAAAAGTCAAATCTCCTTAAACACCGACGGCAACACACCGGAGAGAGACCGTACCCGTGCCTCGACTGCGGGAAAAGCTTCGCACAGAGCTCGGATCTCATCATCCACCGACGAATCCATACGGGTGAAAAACCCTACCGGTGCTGGGAGTGCGGGAAGCGCTTCAGCGTGCGATCCAAACTGGAGCGACACCGGCGCGTGCACACGGGGGAGAAGCCGTACCCGTGCGGGGAGTGCGGGAGGAGTTTTGGGCAGAGCTCGCACCTTTCGGCGCATCAGAAAATTCACGGAAGGGAGAAATCGGCGCTGCGGGTGTGGGAGGTCATTCGGCGCGAGACCCTGCCTTGCTGAGTCGCGGAAGCCGCGCCTGGGTGTATAGGATATCTGAGAGCGCGCGCTTTGCGCGGGACGCGGATGTATAGGATATCGGAGAGTGTGCGCTTTGCGTGGGATGTGGATGTATAGGATATTGGAGAGTGTGCGCTTTATGTGGGACACGGATGTATAGAATTTGCATAGGACATGGATATATAGAATATCAGAGAGCGTGCGCTTTGCATGGGACGTGGATGTCTAGAATTTGCGTAGGACATGGATGTATAGAATATCGGAGAGCCCACGCCTTGCCTGGGACACGGATATATAGAATATCCGAGAGCCCGTGCTTTGCGTGGGTCATGAATGTACAGAATATCGGAGAGCTTTGCATTTAAGCGAATAGAATATCAGAGAGTGTGCACTTTGTGTGGGACGCGGATGTATAGGATATCTGAGAGCACGTGCTTTGCCTGGGATGTGGATGTATAGAATATCCAAGAACCCACGCTTTGCCTGGGATGTGGATGTATAGGATATTGCAGAGCGTGCGCTTTGCGTGGGACGTGGACGCATAGAATATCTGAGAGTGCGCACGTTGTGTGGGATGTGGATGTATAGAATTTGCATGGGATGTGGACATATAGAATATCCAAGAGCATGTGCTTTGTGTGGGACATGGATGTATAGAATTTGCGTAGGACATGGATGTATAGAATATTGGAGAGCCCACGCCTTGCCTGGGACACGGATATATAGAATATCCGAGAGCCCGTGCTTTGCGTGGGTCATGAATGTACAGAATATCGGAGAGCTTTGCATTTAAGCGAACGTCGCAGGACGTTTCAGAGGTGCGTGTGAGCCCGCAAAAGCTCAGAAAATCGGCAAAACCCATGAAACGCCGTTAAAAATGAGGCGGTGCGGGCGCGAGCAGGGCTATTAAATATTTCGGCGTTTGGGTCGAGGAGGAACGGGCTGACAAAGCGCAGCTTTGTAGAACCCACATGGGTCTCGTACTAGAACGGGTCAGTTTGTCTTTGGGTAAGAAAACAGCTTTTTGGTGGTTTTTATCCTCTTCCTCACGATGGTCGGCCGGTTGACACTCTGTATTTCCCCACACACACCCCCCAAAAAAAAAAAATTCCCAGAAAGCCCCAAAAAAAGTGATTTTCCCAGTAAGGACCCCTGCCTTTCTCCGAGTCGCCGGCGTCCCTGAACATCTCGAGATGTTTGAACTCGACGGCGCAGCGAGACGGGAGGATTTTTTT